AAGCATCTTCTCTCTTTGGTGGTCAAGGGAGCTGCAGTGGGTTGGGGCACCTAACCATTGTACACCTGAAGCCCGGTGTGATGAATCCCAGTGATTTCATTTGTAATACAGTATGGGTGGAGTTCAATTTGCAAGAGAGGTAGCTCCATCCCAACTGCTCATTATTTTACAGGAAAAGCAAAATTTACCCTTCCCCTTTCTCTGCTTTATTTGTTTGTACACAGTTAGTGTGCTAATAGCTAGCTAAACCCCAGTGCACATCTTTCCCTGCCCTGCGCAGGAGAACTGCTGCCTGCTTTGCCCCCACTCCGTATCTGCAAGCTTGTGGCAGGAAGGACTGTGAAGGAGAAGGCATTTCTCCCTTTTTTATTTATTTTGTTTCTTATTCTACTTCACTGTGTAAAAATGTAATTGAACGTCAGTGCAAAGTCATGGCTGATTTCCCCTTCCAGTTATCTCACTATTACTCTATCAAGGTAGTGGGAGTTACTGCAGATAACTGCTAACATACAGGGGAGGAGAAGCAGGGCTCGAATAAATCCAGTGTTACAGTTCAAAGGGATTAAAATGAGAGAAAGAGAGAAAGGGAAGAGCTAAAATGAAAGAAGTTTGAAAGAAACAAAAAAATCACTGTCTTTGGGGAGCTATGTACTTTCTCCAGGGAGTTTTCCTACTAGATAAATCTTTGAGATGGTGGAACAAGGTATTTAAATCTCTGCTTCAATACAGGAAAAAGAAGAAGAAAGTAAAGAGCCAGCAAAACAAAAGCGTGCCTTTTTTCTGGCAAAACAATATACCTCTTGCTTTAAAAAAAAAAAGCTTGCTATATCCTACTGATAATTATACCTTCAGCAAATGGTCTTTTAAATTCAAATGCATTTTTCTGCTGAGAAGCCAACATTTGGACTTGAATAATCTTCTTTCAACCTGATAATGTTGGAGTTTTGTGAATGCATGTGTCTGTACATATATATATGTATATAATTGCTGTGTTTGGGATGAATTTGAACATTTGCTTTTTAGTGGGAACTGTGTTCTTGCCTGTGTAGGTCAATGGACCCAACACAAGAAAGCATCAGTGAAAGCTCCCTGCTGGTCCCAGATCAGTGGCACTGGCACTGAGCCCCAGGACCAAAGCTTCTGCAGCATTTTTCAGGGTACTTTTCAGGGCTTCAAGGAAACTTGCAGGATTTTTAATGCCAGGTGTTGTGTGGCTAAGAGGCCTGGGTCTGGAAACCTATGTGGGTAACAGAAGTGCCATGCCAAAAATGCGGCACCATTTAATGATCTGTGTTGGAGAAGTTTAATCCTTTGGGTGCGAGGTTTATAATTCCACAGCGGATTAAGAGCCTTTGCTATTTAAGACTCTATGTTGGTGACCAATTTTTTTTTTATTTTTTTATTTTTTATCTATTGGGCCTGCAAACTGTATTTTCATATGAAAAGATAGAGTTTGGGTATTCAGGTGTTCAAGCTAAGCATGCTAATAAAAAAGGCACTTTATGCTGGAGGGGACGGTAAAAGAATTTCTGCTAATTTGAAAAGAGAGGTTTGAATCTGTCCTGATTTCAGTCCCAAAGAGCCAAGATAAAACTGGGCAAGATAGCCTACTCATGATTTTATTTTCAGTTCATTATAGTTGCAGTTCTGATGCTATGAATTAGCTGCAAAGCCTGCTTGACCTGTGCGAGGAGAGTGTGCTTTCCCAGGCAGGTGTTATCTCTGTTAATGTGTCTAGCACAAGGTTTGCTTTCCTTTCTGGAAACCCCAAATTTATCAAAATTATCACAGGGAAATAATTTACTGGCAAAGGCCTCCTCTCCATTTCTATCCTCTCCGACCACCTTTTGCTTTTGGTGCCTGTAAACCCATGGATCTGATCCTGCCCCAGTGCCAGCAGTGCCCCAGCAAAAGGAACAGCAGCCAGCACTTGTGTAAGTGGAAGGGACGTGCATGCCTGCGATCACGCAGCACTGCAGCGATACCCTTCAGCCTGCCTGCCTGTCAGAGTGCCTTCCAGCCAAACAGACATACAGCTTCACAAAACAGGTGTTCTGCTCGTATTAATCATTGGGGTTACTGCGAAGCATTCCCACAGTCTGTAAATATCCACACATCAGTAGCGTTGTCCCTTTAAAAGGATTACTTCTTTAATTAGATCTATCATCCCCTTTTACAAACATTTCTCTAAGCGATACAGTGGTAAGAGCACCATACCGGCAAAGATAAACTGCCTTCTTTGAGAGAGCAACATTCCTGCTATTGAGATGGGCCCTTTGCCCGGGTCCTTGTTTTGCCCCATGAAGCTGCTATTCAGGTACAGCAGGGCTGAGGGCGCCTTGTTCAAGCTCAGAAACTGTTTGTGAGGCTGTGGCAGACTTGGACTTTTCCAACTGGCACTGAGCAGAAAGAGATGCTTGTTTCCCCACTATCGGAGGGGGGGAAAAGGAGAAGGGGGCCAGTGCAGGTGGTGCTCCATCAGTAAAATGCTGTTGGAAGAAAAGCTTGCAGGTGCTGGCTCTGAAAATGGACGGGTGCTTCCTGGGCCCGGGGCAAGCTGAAGAGGACTGCCAAGGCCAGACAGAACCGCTCTGTTGCCTTAAGAGTGCATAAAAAAAGATGTTTCAATGCTGTCGTCGGATCTGGGTGGTTTGCCACAGAGGACAAAAAGTCTCCTGTAAAATTGGATTTAAATAGTCCTATCTCACTTGTGCTCTGGGTGACCAGATTCAATTGTGCCGGTGTCCCCTCTGCAGTATGATATCATAGCTTCAGAGGAAGGCTTTATTTAGAGGTCACATTAGTTTGTCCTGTGGATGTAATCATTTTTTGTGTCATGGACAATGTTTTACTGTGAAGATATGGGCCAGATGGCTCAGCCACTTGCAGTCCAGAGTTAAACAGGCTCTTTATTGTGGGTGAATAAACAGAACCTATTGTCCCCTGCTCGTGAAACTCTAGTGTCCACTGCCGGGTAAAGATGAAGTATGAAATTTTCACGGCTGAGGGAAGAATATGTAAAACAACAAGTAAAAGGGGTGTGGGCTTCCAAAACATATCCTCATTGTCTCTTCTGTTTTTTTTCTCCTAGTAAATATCCGTGAGGTATTTTCATGCCTTGCCATTGTCTAATGTTGCTAGGCACTCGTGTCCCCTCCATCCTCTGCCCCCTCACTGGCAAACATCTTCCACCACGACTGCACCCATGGCTGTGGGGTTCAGGAGCATCATGCCTTGGTTTCTTGCTTGTAGGTCCCTGTACAGGTGTGGTGCCTGGGCAGGTAGATCATTGCCAAGTCCATCTCTGGTAATTTATTGTTTTGTACCCCTGAAAGCTCTCCCTTGGCTGTGGCTCTCCCACGAGCTGGTAACACACAGAGCACTGGCCAGCAAGTGAAGAGGGAAAAAGGTGTTTTCCTCCAGACCAAAGAGGTAAAATTCATTTTTCTCCCCATTTTTCTCCCCCAGGCCTGGCAGAGTAATTCAGAGGGTTTTTTTCCTGAAGAAAACATACATTTTCTGTTTAAACTCACCCCATCCATAGTTTCCTGTATGGCAATGTCAGAAGTATTTCTTTCCTCTCTCTAATTGCAACCAAAGCCAACCTTGACTGGCAAGGAGAAAGTCCCTGACAGGTTTGGGTTCAGTCCAGACCTTCTCAGAGAGTCTGTCAGGCAACTATTTGACAGTATGCAAATGTATGCAAATGGGGGGACACTGGCCGAACACCTGCAGAAAGTGTCCATCCCCACTCCCTCTATGCTCTACCTCCTCCGCACGTGGGGCTTTGAAATGCTGCTTCGTCTCCCTCTGTCAGTTTATTATGCGTTCGTCAGCAGAACGTGGGGCTGGTGAAAACCGCGCTCTTTGTCCTGCCAGGCGGCAGAGCCCCATGTGGAAGGGCCAGTGCCAGGAATGGTGCGATGGCTTCCATCCAGCCCTTGTGAATCCTCCTTTCTGTCTTTTAGGACCTTCCCTTCAGCATCCCAACCCTTTTGGGGTTGCCCATGTCAAGGAAGGCCTTCTGTTTTCCTGGGAGTAAAGACATCATGTCGGTGGAGTCTCAGCCGAACAAAAAGGCTTTCTTGCCAGCAGCTGGAGTGCACGGCTGCGAGGGGCTGTGCATGCACCGCATGAAAACCTGTGACCGACTCCAGCCGGTGAGGGAGGGAGGGAGGGAGGGAGGGAGGAAGGAAGGAAGGAAGAAAGGAAGGAAGGAGAGACACCTAGAATAAAGCAAAGTTGCCAGCTGTGTACTGGTTGTCAAAGAGAAATGCTGGTTGCTGCAGTCATCAGGAGCAGCTGTGGGTCTCCTGCGTGCCCCCCATGGAGCAGATCCTAGAGTGGGATCTGGAGGTCTGGTGGGGTGGGGATGGAGGACACTGGGTGTTTTGGTTGCTTAAGTCTGCAGTGGGAAGGAGATGGAGAGAGGCATTTTGGAGTGCTCTTTAGAGAAGGCCTGCAAATTCAGGGAAATTTGGGACCTTCAGCCTGAATCCAGACCCTGGAAGGGAAAATCACTGGGTTTTGCAAACAGGCTTGTGGATCAAAGACATATATTCCTCACTAACTTTTAGTCAAAGGAAGGTGTGGACCCTTACAAGTCCTGCGTAACAGCCTCAGTTTTATACAGCTAAACACTCGAGGCTGTGGTGTCTGAGTGGTGGGTCTGTGGACTGCATAGAGATATGGCCCTCCAGCTCCCAGAGAGCTCACTGCTGAGACTGCACCACAACCCGAAACAGCTCTGACTGCTATTGGGGCAGCAGGCATCCTCCTCTGATCCATGGTCTCAATTAAAAATCCCTAGCCTGATGCCAGTGCTGGGCCTACCATGTGTATCTGACTCTATCAGGTGCAATCGCATGGCTATAAAGTCATAACCCATGGGTACTGGCCAAGTGGCAAACTGTGGCTAAACAACATGTTGTGCACCATAAGCCTAACTTCACACCACAGTGATGGCTAAGTCAGGGTTTTTGAGGCTGCCTGAAGAGAGCTGTGCCAGTGGAGGTAAGATCTGCACTTTGCTCAGTCGCTTGCATTAGGAGAAGCGAGGTCCTGCTGGATTTGAAACCGTGTGGTAAAATGTCAGTAAATATTTCAGAGCATGAGGCAGCGTTTAGACACCACAGCCATGTGTAATGCTGAGCTTTGAGGGTCAAAGGCCTGCCTTTGGACTGCCAAAATACAAGAACCACCCCTCAGATTTGGGATACTAATGGTTCTTGGAAACACAGGCGGGCTTCTGCTGAAAGCCAGGTGGACTTAAAGAGGTTGGTAATTGTTGCTAGGGCTTTTTCCTCTGCTGGGGATGAATACCAAATGAGCTGTTAACGCGGGGATGTGGATGGACAGTTAGTAGGGTGCCTATCAGAGCTTTCCTGGCACCAGCTTTTTCATCTTTTCCCCTGCAACAGGATGCTCAGAGGGACCCGCTGCAATTCTCACTGCACCGTATGGAAATCAGTTCACGTTTTCTCTGGAGAAAGAAAATAACTGCTTCTGGTTTCTGGTTCCTTTTTTTTTTTTTTTGGCCTTTTTTTTTTCTTTCTTTTTTCCCCTTACACTTTGGAGCCTAAGGTAGCTGCATTTAGCAGCTTTAATGTCCTTTCATTGCTGCTGCTTGCAGGGTTGTGGTCACTCAGGCAGCAGTAACTTTGAAAAAATGACCCGTCTACACCCAAACAATAACAGAATCCCCCTTTTTATGTTGGCAACGCCCACCGCTTTCTCTTCTCTTCAAGACTCCCCACGTAGACGCAACTGTTTGACCAGCCTTCTTCTGAACAACTTAATTAAGCAAAAGAAAAAGTGTCAGTTTCTGCCAACCCCACAAAAACAGAGCTGTGGGGGTAAAAAGGGGATGTGGCACCAGCCTGCATTCCTCAACGGGCTAATGAAGGGAGACCCTCGCTTTGCAGCGCTGTCAGGCATAGCCAGGGCTATCGTGACATACTGCTTCACCCACCACCCCAGACACGATGGGAGCCGGTGTGACCCGTGTCCCGTAGACACAGAGGTGCCCTGGGAAGCACCTCTGGCTTGGCAGAGGGGCACGTGTGTGCCTCTTCCCATTAGAGTCAGCCCAGGGGATCAAGCAGTTTTCCAAGCTGCATGAAAAGGGGAGCCCCTTTTTATTGTCAGGGACAGGTGTGGATTTAGCAGAGCAAACCACTCATGTTCCCACCACAGACAGAGGGTAGCTCTGAAATTCTGGAGCTCTGGAGGCTCCTGAATTTCCCTGCACCTGCATCACGAACCCAATGGGTGCATGTTGCATGCATGGATCTGAAAAACCTCCCATTCCCAAGCAAAAATGCCAGAAAGGGAAGATCATGAGGGGAGGTATGGGGCAGTTGAGAAAGGAGATTGTGAGGGGATAGGAGAGGCGGCCATGAGGGTTGAGGGGAGGACACGAGGGAAGAGCAGGGGCAGCCATGGGGGAAAATCATGAGGGGAGAGGTGGGGTGGCTGTGAGGGTAGATCATGAGGTGAGAGCAGGGGCAGCCATGGACTGTGAGGGTTGGCCATGAGGAGAGAGCTTGAGGGGAGATGAGGCGTGTCCATGAGGGGTAGGGGCAGCAGCTATATCGTGTGGGGCCACTATGAGGGGGCAGATGAGGGGTGGCTGTGACTGGAGATCGTGAGGGGCAGTCATGAAGGGCAGCCATGAGGGGAGACTGCTTTGCCCTTAGTGAAATGGTTTAGTGGTGGGCTTGACAGTCCTGACAACCTAACATTCGGTTCGGCTCGATGATCTTAAAGGGCTTTTCCAACCTAGTTGATTCTATGATTTCTTTCTTTTCCTTCAGAAACCAGGTCTGCTCTGTGAGCACTGTAGCATCCTCTTCATAGGCTGGCAAGGCTGCACCTTACTCCAGCCAGCTGCTCTCTGTCTAAGGAAAGGGATGAAGCTCTTACTTACAAGTGCTTCAAGGGCTTAAGCTTTCACTGCTTTTTTCTGAGGGAAAAAAGTTGCTCTTAACTGAGGAGGGAATGATGGAGCAGAACTGTCTCCCTGACTTATGTTCTCCCCTTCTGCCTTTATCTCCATTAAAAGAGCATAAATTCATTTTAGGCTACAATTCTGCAAAGGTCGGGGGCTGCTCTGACTTTGCACAGTGCACCTACCACCTCTGAAATCAATGGGCTGGCTGTTCACCCGCACAAGTACAGTGCACATGTAGGTCTTTGAAGGACCACGGCTTTGTCTGGAAAAGAGTAAGGCTTGGGTTGTTTCTTTTCAGACAAACACCTTGTTTTGCTTGTGCATTGCCCTATTCTTTTCCACCCCAGCCACCTCTTTTCTTTAGTTGTACCTGGCAGGCAGGAGTCTGTGTACTTCTGAGCAGTCCTTTAGTCCTCAAACCAGACCAATAATTTTTAAAATAATAAAAATTATCCAAGGAAAATGGATCCCCAAGCCCTTAAATGCTCTGCTGTATTTTCTTTGGCCTCTAGCAGTCCTGATATACCCTCTCATTTAGGAATAAAGGAAACCAGCCATCAGAAGTTACATTCCCACAGCAGTATGATCTCTTGTAAACAAGGTGTTTTATCCTCTTTTGAATTCTGAGATGGGAACAAATATAGCAAATGCTGGGGCATGCTTTGCTGGGGGAGACTGCAAACATGGGGGCAAAGCCCTGCTCCGGATATGAACCAGCACCAGCACAAACCTCAAATGCTGTCCTCAGCTGTGGCATCCTAAGACCTGCAGAACTCCCTCACATTGGCAGATGCACACACACACAAACATTCATGCATGCAAACACACACGCATGCAAACACAAGTGTGGAGTAACTGATGGCATTGCAACTGCAGTGCTGGGGGCACTGCAACCCTGGCAAATAAAAGTGACTTTGAGGTGCAGTTGCATGCTGGGTTTACCTGATTACACAGCCACGAGGTGCAGCGGGAACTTTATACAGTGTGCACTGGTGCAGATAAGGCTGTTGTCCTGTGGAAAGCAGTGGAGTCTGCCAGCGTGAGTTGAGCAGCTTTTCATGGCGTGACAAGCTTAAAGCAAAGGGGTGATTGCTCACCAGCATGCAGGCATTGCCTGTGAAATGACAACTGCTCCAATATTAAAGGGTAAAGAAGTGAGAAACCTTTATCTGCAGGCTCCGACTGTTTCATTCTCTTGACACAACGGTACAGGAGCGGCGGCCTTTATTGTGATTAATATCTGGGAAGCTTCTTAACAAGGCTTAGCTTGATAGGTGGCTCTTGTTGAAGGAAATTTATGGCCTGGTACTTCCTCAGTGAGACTTCCCACGTTGAATTGTGGAACATTACTGACCCTGATGCCCAACACGAGGGGGTGGGGATTTACACAGATGTCTGGTAACTGTGGAAGGTGCAAAAATCCAGAAGAACAACCTGCATTACATCCATTGGAAGCGGCTGGTTAACAGAGGTCAGGGGGAGGCCCGAGCCAGTGTGTGAGCCTCAGTGTTTTGGTGCAGTTTGTTTTTTGATTAGTGCAGTTCATGACCGGGCCATCCCACCTGAATAACAATCAGTGTGATTCACAGCGGGCCAGGAGAGAGCAGGGACGCCCGCCGCGCCGCCCATATGGAGCCCAGCCCTGGGAAGTGCAGAACCTTCCCAAACCCAGATGGTTCGGCTTGACGGCTTTGGCAAGGCACCAGCAATAACCTATGACGATATGAAATCATCAAGATCTCGACAACTCCCCCCTCTTTTTCCCCTGCTCACCCTCTCTCCCGCCTCCCTCCAACTGTATGTACAGAAACAAAGCCATATGGGAAAGGGAGCGCGGCTGCGGATTAATGAACATGCATGAAATGGAGATCGGCTGCCACTTAACGATGCAGTCATTAAAACTAGTGTCTGCATGCACTTTTCTCTTTTTAATTTTTTTTTTTATTGTGGTTTTTTTCTTTTTATCTGACACTATATTTGCCTTCATAAAGAAAAAGGGGAGCAGATGGGAGGGCAAGGCTGGGCTGCTGGTGGCAGGAGGTTTTGAGCATTAGTCCTCCAGTGCAAGCAGAGGTAAAGCATTTGAGAGCAGTACAGAGAGCCAGAGCCTGAAGCCTCACTGCTGCTGTTTCTGCTGCTTGTGGGGGAAAATCTCCACTTGAGTTGACTACTTCCCTTTAACATAGCCTGGATTTCTCTGGGTAAATGAGATAATTACAGTAAGCAGCAGCTGGAAGAGCCCAAATGACACCTTAGTAAAAATTAAGTCCTGACTGCACTGGTTCTGGGGAGGTGCTGGGTACTCAGAATGGGAAGAGCAGGCACAGTGCTGGGTAGGCCAAGGTTTATGAGTGCCTCCACAGGAGCCTGTGGGCAGGATTTGGTTTGCTGCCAGCAGGTAGGAGACTCTGTGGTGGGGGGACAGAGGAACCTTCTGATCAGCTGGTTTCAGAAAGACATCTAGACCTTGGAGCAGGAGGACTGGGGTTTAATAAACTAAGTGGCTCAAAGGAATGGGTAAGTTTTAGCTTAAACGGTGCTTGTTCCGGAGTGCTTATGAAAAAGGAGGAGAGGAAGCACTGCTGAGAAGTCATCAGCCTGAAGACGCCCTGCTCCGCCTCTTTCATTCACCTGCCCCCTCCCAAAGGGCACCGCTTTCTTCCCCCCCCCTGCTCCCTTGTTGCTTGAAATTTCAGGCTCTGGATATTAGCAGTAAAGCTGAGACCTGTGCGTAGCCTGTGCTGGCTATGACTGTCCTTCACGGTGAAGTGAAACATGTAAGAGGGATTTGGTATTTTCTAAATAATTCCTCCTCTCAAAACAATTGAATTCATAATCCCAAGTTTCCAAACATACAAGATGAGAGATGCTCGGCCAAAGAACTAGAAGAAATCATTTACACAAATAGCTTGTACAGTGTCCTTTGAACATTGTGCTCTAAATCTTTTTAGTCTCATGAGTATTCATAGTGTTTTTCAAATAATTTGAAAGCCATTTCTTAATGAAGGCTAGAATATCCCTTTTAAACTTCTAAGTGATGTTGTTTTTCTTTGATCACCTCTATACATTCCATATTCCAGTACCCTTCTCTCTGCTGCATATTCATGTCCTCAGTATAATTTAAAGGCATACTTGCATGCTTGACAGTGATAAATAAAACTCATCCATCATATAGCAGAACCTCTGGGGAGAATTAAATATCCTGAGTTTCAGTGCTGTTACTGTCTGCATGATTATGAACCCAATCCAAAGCTCGTTGAACCAGTGGCAATAGTTAATGAGCTGGCAGAATATTTATTCTTGGTACAGAGAAAGGAAACCCATACAACTTATTTTTGGCAGTTACAGACAGCGGGATGCTGCAAAACCTTGCTGCTGACTGCCTGTCTTACTAACCAAAGATTGTGATTTCTTCCAGGTGCAATCTCAGTACATCTACAGAAGAGGATGGATGGAGGATCAGGTCTGTGCTCTGGCTCAGCACACAGCCCACATTATTACCGTGAAAGGTGTGAAGTTTATTTACTTGTGGGATATAAACATTATGCTTTTGCATGTTTTTTGAGCACGTGAAACCATGACAGCAGCTCGCTCCACCTCGTAAAACTGTGGTGAGAAGGTGGTGTTCCTCCTCTAGGAGACCCATGTGCTTGCCCTAGAGATGCTGCTGCTCCTGAAAAATACAAATATCAGACTATTTACCACCTGCCCTCCATTCCCCAGAAGCAATGCTGATACCAGTCCTCTGAGGAGCTTTCTGATGTGGCAAAGCAGCATTTGCTCTGTATTAGAGAGAGAAGCAAAGGAGAAAGAAACCTGCACCAGGCCTAAATGAGCACATCAGGTTAACTGGGATGGGGATGCAGGCTCACTTCAGTTTTGGTTCTCCCTTGCAGGCTGGTCCATGTGAAATCTGGGAGGGTGTAGGAGGGATTCCCAAGCCAGCCTTGGCACAGGCCAGCTGTGTGGTGAAGCACTGAGCACTGCTTGGCTGCTCAGCCCAAAACCCAGCTGGTTGTTTGCAGTCACAGTTTATCTGGGGAGGAGTGAGGTACCAGTTTGGGATGGGTAAGGTTTTATGGACCTGTTTTCCCAGCCACTGAAATTACCCCAGCAACTAACTGCATGAGCAGAAGAAGGAGGCCTCAAAATCATGTTGGTGACTTGATGGTGGGATGCTGGGATGCTTTTTTCTCAGATCCCACCCATCCTCACATCCCAGTCTTGGTGGATGAAAGAGAAGAGAATGCTTCTCGGGGCAGGAAGTGGAGTGAAGCAACGCCATTAGCTGAGACAGGAAGGAAACACAGGGCAGGTTTTATCTCATCTTCTTCAGAGCTCCTGTGTCCCCTCATCCATCCTGAGCAAGGGTGGGTGTTTCTGCACCTCCCATAAGTGCAAAAAAGAGACAGGACACCTAGTTCAGGCGAGGCACTTAATTTTTGCATGGTTAAAAGCAGGTGTGATGGCTACCCAACCTTCATGGTTGTCTAGGGGAAGAGGCTGTGTGGGAAGGAGACCTTGTAGCTACTCAGCCAAGGCCTGAGGCAAAAGTGAAGGGCTGGAGAGGCTGAGACAGGACATAGGGGAGGGCACAGCACAAATGCGTGTAGCTGTGCATTGCCAAGACACCAGCCAGAGGGCAGGTAGAGGCACAGTCACGTAAATCATAGCTGATGGGAAATTTACAGCTGACCAGTGAAAAAAGAAATGGCCTGACCTTTCGCTTAAGGCTACAATGGCTGTGCTGCTGCTGGCCCCTTTCCCCTCCAGGCCACTGGAGAGCCAGTTGCTATAGCTGTGACATTCCCCCTGCAGTTGCCTGAGAAACATGCTGAAGCCCCTGGCTGACACCTCCCGCTCTCAGCATCCCCCCCTCTGGCACTCGAGATGCTTTATGTGCCGATCCCAGTGTCCGAAGGCGAAGGCGGAGGTTAAGACCTTGTCCTGTATTCTGTCCCTACTTAGCAGGATCCCTCTTCAAAGCTCTTACCCAGAGCAGGAGATGATCATGTTTAGTGACCTGTCACACTAGTACTTCAGGCTTTTGTTCTGGGAAATTGGTCTTCCTCTTTTCAAAGTGAGAGGATTTGGGCTGTGTCATTAGAGCCATCAGCCTGCCAACGTTAAGGGAGCAAGGAGTGAAAGCTGTTTCTCCATAAGCAGTGGAGGGTCTGAAATGTCTTACCTCCTTTGAAGCAGAGGTTCCCATCCCAGTGGCATTAAAGTGGCCCCAGGACAGAAGGCGGAGGGCTGCTGCTCACCCTGGGTGGTGGGTGACTGGGCAGAAAATTAACTGCTCCCATATCTTCACTTTGTGCCTCCCTTATTTAGATGTGCCCTTGGCAGATTTTATGTGGAAGGCCGATGGAAGAAGGGCCAGGGATTTTAGATCTTCCCTGCTAGATAACATGTTTTAAAGGCACTGTGGCCTTTCCTCCTATTCCCAGAAGGAATATCAAAACAGACCCTGTAAAAAGCCCCTGAACAAACTGTGGCATCTTGGTAAATTTTGCCATCCCGTGCCACAGAGGGTGCTATATTCTCTGTTAACCTAATGGCTGGAGTGGTGCATGGAAGAGGGTCTCCTCTGCTTGCTCGGTGTGGGAGATGGGCAGCTGCCATTTGTGTGGCTTTGCCTTCTCCTGCCATGGCCTGGACCTCACCAGCAATAGGTACTTCCTTGACATGACCATCTTCTTGGGGTTAGAGCTGGGTGGGTTGTACTCAGTGGGATGGTAAGAGGTGAGGGGAATGGTTGTATTTCTGCCATCTGCCTCCTAGGAGCAGTTACCATTTCTTAATGCTGTTGTGCCAACAGTGCACCACTGCTCACAGCTGTCTGGGGGAAAATAAGGTGTTTCTGAAATACCTTCTCCCTCCTGGCCTGTTTTGTCTCTTTTCCTTTTACAGCCAGTCTTTGGAGTATGAAGGTTTTTTTGTCAGCTGCACTGCCAGCTCTGGCTTAGCAACTGCCCTGGACTTCATCCAGGATCTGTGGTTGGGAACACTGAGGAGCAGGGATCTGGGTGGCCTAAGCCTGAGGATGTGGCCAAAGACATGGAGCAGGGCTCAGACAGGCCCCTCAAGGGGACAGAAGTACATGGAGGACAAGACTCCAAAGGAGTCACTCTGGGGGAGCTGATCATGGCCATGATTATTGGGTCTTTGGCCACCAATGTCACTGATATTGCTGTGTGCTGACGGAAGATATCTTCTCCTTTATTTTTCAATTGATGTCCTCGGGGAAGGGAGCTTGTGGGCCTAGGTAGCAAGTGAGCACAGCATGCTGGTCTCTCTTAGCATTTTTGGGATGGAGCTGGACTCTAGGCTCTGTGCTGTGAGGATAGCCTTGTATGCCGTGTGTTGAAGGCAAAACCTGCCTGAGGGCATCTTTGAAACTTCAAAGTGTTTTCTTGAAGATTCATCCCATGTGAAGTTAGCTGGTGCTTGAATGAGCACTTCTGCCATCTGCTGCTTCTCTCCCTGTGAGCTGCTTTGGCTCGGCATAGAGCACTGATATTTTAGGTTTCCTGTTATAATCTCACTGATGGTTTAGATACCTCAGTGATCTCAGTCTCATTGAGCATGACTCAATAGGTCCTAATCTTTTTTTTTTCTCCTTATTTCTACGGAGGGTGCTGTTGGTGCTCTATGCCAACACAATCCAACTGCCACATCTGACGTAGTGCCACAACACTGCTGCTCTGCCAGCCGGTCACAGGGGAGTTTTGGAAGGAAGGCTTATAGCTGTGTTTCATGTTCAGACCAAAGGCTGAGCGTGCTTTCACCTCATGACTGTGAAATAAGCTAGAATGGGATTTTATAGTCCTTTGGCTCCACTGCAGTAACCCTGCATGGTAAATTCAGGCAACTTGTTTCTCAGCGGAAGAGTGGACTTGCATTTAGGCTGAGGGTGCCTAACATGCCCATGGGGTGAACACCAGGGAAAGCAAGCCATGAAAAACTGTCAAAAATGAGTGGGGGTTCAACATGAAGAGTCTTGTCCAGCGTTGAACATTGTGTATCCTCTCTCTTGATCTCCAGCCCAGACAAATTGAGACCAACTCTGGGTAAACAGGGCTGTTATCCCAGAGACACTAGGTCCAGCAGGGCCTGCTGCTCTTGGCCAGCCCAGTGGTGGAAGTGCCTGGAAACAGCTTTGGATGACGAGCTAGGTTCAGCAAAAAATTTTTTAACAAGTGAAGCAGGTTGAGCTCTGGCAATGTCAGGCACGGTCATGCAGCTTTCAGCAGTAGGTTTCTGGGTGAAGAAGGAAACCTGGGGCTGGGGAAGGTGGCCCCGCATGTCCTCATTGGTGCCTCTCATGGCTTTGTAAAAGAAAGGGGACATGCCTGAACAGTGTGATCATGGCATGGGAGCCCTGGGAGGAGGGAGGAAGGGAAGCGCATGCCATGTCAGGTGTCACACTTGGGCCTGGCAGCATGTGACATCTCTCTGTGCTGGCAAAAATGGGTAGGTTGGGACAGCAGCTTTTTGTTGCAATCTGATTACAGCCTTTCTGTTCTTGCTGACCCTTTGCTGTGGGTTGGTTTTTTTTATTGTTGTTTTGCTTTGTTGGTTTTTTGTGGATTTTTTTTTTACTTGAAGGAATTAAAAAATACAGCTTCCATGAATAAATATAACTCTTAGCTCCATCTTATTAACTAAAAGCAATTTAGTGCTAAATACAGTGAATGTTAACAAAAAGCCGAGAATAGAAAATTGTTTAAGTGGCCAAAGAAACTTTCTTCCATTGTGATGCAAGCCAAGCTATGCCAGCTATATGTAAATGTATGCAGTAGGCTCTGTGCATGTGTCCACTTTGAAGTTGCCATCTGAATTTAATTCTGCCTTTGTGATTAAATCAGGCCATTACGTTTAATCTCACTTAATAGTAAGAAACGCTCTTTGTTGTTTTCTATAGGCAACATATTCTGCCCCTAACATATACAGCTTGGCATTCACACTTTACTATTAATCCCCGATGGCTGATAATTGCTTCATCTCCAAGTTCTCTGTCCAATTCACAAGGGAACTGATTGCAACTATTCTTCCCCTATACATTAATGCACTGTTTTGGTCTTACTTCTTTGGCTCAGTGAACCCTATCAAGCTGTCCACATTTTCTGGGCATGTGGGCGTATTGTAAGTTGTTAAATTAAATTCTGCGCTGACCCCCTAAACACCAGAATCTATTAGCACTGCAAGTTAGCTGATTGACAAGTGGGGCTACTCTTCCACTCAAAAACCTGACATAGGAAAAAAACTCCCAACCCAGGCTAAATAAGGCTGAATATTTTGTTTCAAGTGAAAATCTGAGGTCTTCTGCCTGCTGTCTTTCTACTTACAATTTCATTACTGCAGCAGGATCAATTGTATTATTAAGTGGTATTGTTTCATTGATCTTACATATGTCAGTCAGGAAATTTCTTTGGAAAAAAGACCAAGTGTTTGGAAGATGTCTTTATTTTCTTGAACGTGGAAGCCCACGCAGATTTTTTTTTTT